AGTAATGGGATCTGAAAAAGCTACTTGACAAAAGTTATATTTTTGCTGATATTTTGAATGAAAGATCAAAAGGATAAATAATTAAGAATATTTTTTTACAAGTCATTTTGCTCATGATGGGTGCCAGTATTTCTGGAGGGCACTGTATATTACGTGCTGCGCATATGTGTTTGGCAAATAAGTTATAAATTAAAATTGTGGACTGTTGTGGACTTATTGTGGATTATGAAACAATATCTCAAAGTTAAACTAATTGACATTTCCAAGTTAATTTACAGTACGATCTTGGCTCTGTATATAAGTGGCACTTGCCTTCTGGCTGAAATGATTGTGACAGGATTTTCTAACGTGGCTCAATCACCCCCAGCAAACAATGGGATCCAGAACTCTCTACGACCGTGTAGTGGCACAAATCAGAAGCTATAAAAATAACTGTGGAGTTATTTGTTTTGCCTGTTCAGAATCTGCGCTTGGCAGCTGTTTGTGAGGAGAAGTAGCCACTGCAACTCATGTTTTTCCTTGCTCCGGTAACTGAACCATTTCATTGATGTCTTCACAAATGAGTTGAGGTATTAGCACGAGTATTTGATGCTTGCAAACTGTCAACACACTATCACTGTTCAGGCTACCACTTCAAACAGCTAATAAGCCAATCCAAGGTACACAAAGCCAAAGTAAGCTTCTTATTCAAATTTTTCTGAGGCAGCAGAGTGAGGTGGAATGAAAAATTTGGATAAGAAGCTAAGTTCAGCGTAGATTAATCAAACCAGTTTTTTTTCTAATTCCTGAATTTTTTCATACCTTCATGGTAAAAAATATCAGTCCATATCCTCTTGCAACCCCCATTTTGAAAAAACACTTTATACTAATATTAATATTTTCAAAATGTGAATATTTTAATTGTCAAATTTATTGAATTTTATTGAATATCTGTTGCCGCCCTAGTGTGATGTAGTGAGATGTTGCAGCGTTGAGCTGGCTTGTGCTGTGTCTAACAAAAGTTGTATCCTCCCTGCTCTCATTGATAGGGTCTACACACAGAAGGCTTTTATAATTTTCTTGGTCATACCAATTGGCTCTTGAAGACACAAAGCTTCTTTTATAAATATTTCTGCAAACTGAAATATTTGTTTGGGGTTATTTATTAAAATATGGTGTTCAATAAATGGTAATAAAAAACAAGAAACTCAAGCATGGGGTTTCATCTTTGCTTTTTTATCGACACAAGCTCCCAATTTTGGATGTTTGCAAACATCAGACCCTAATAATCAAAAGCAGATCGGTTTGCTTATAGACTTCACAGCCTGAAGAACTTTTAACACTATTTTTATACACTTGTATAGAAATACTTGCAAATAATTCTTTGGTCCAGCCATACTTGAATTCTAACTGTAAATACAATACAATTTATATTGTTTATTAATTAATTAATTTCCAATATAAATTGATCATTTTTTAATTTAATACACATCAGAAATTCAGATCCATCAGAAAAGTTAAAGCAACTAGCAATACTGACTGCATTTACTGACTGAAACTAAATGAAAACTTAAGGCAAGTAAAAGTACTGAAACATTAGCAAGACAATCATTAGTGTCCCTTTCCTTTATTTAGGTTAATATTTTGTTACATAGCTCTTCTAGGCATGGAGTGCATGAGTTTGCACAATTGATGCTCAACAATGCTTGTTGGATTTTCTGTTTTGGCTGGCCAGAGTGTGGCCTTTTCTTCCACTTCAATATACTGTTCAGTCTTGATTGTGTTTTTTAGTGTACCTGTAATCTTTCTCACAGACGTTTTATTAGCGAAAGACAAGATTTTTTTTTTCCAGATTAATTCAACACAGTACAGGTTTTCTTAGTTTTCTAACTTTGAAGTACAAGTAGGGAGTTAGGTAACTGTTTTCTAGTTTGCTGTTGTTCAGTTGGACCCAAAGTATTGATGGATTAGTATTGATTGATTGATACGGCTGAAATTATGTACTTTTGAATGTTTCCACAATAGAGTTTTCATGGTACCTTAAAAAATGAAATAATTCTAAAATAACAATGTATTCCAAAATTGCTTTTGATCTTGGGGAGTCGGGGAAATTGAGCAAGTACTTGCTTTCTTACTTAGTTACTACAGTGTCCCAAAATAACTTTTGAGCACTGTAGTAACTAAATAAAAAATCACTGTAAATGAAGTCACTGTAGTAAGTAAATAAATCAGTAAGTAGTTGCTCAGTTTTTTCAGCTTCACGTATGCCGTTACTGTGTTTTCTGCATAGTTCAATGGTTGTAAACATTGAGTCGTTAAGAGCATTTAAAGCCAAAATCTTAATTATAGAGTAGGGTGACCAAACGTCCCTGATTTCTGGAGACAGTCTTTGTTTTTGGTTACCTGTCCTGGGAAATGTCCCCGTTTTTAACTGTGAATGAAAAACACACCACAAAATCCTAAGAAAGACCTGGCAGCAGGGCAGATGAGCAGACATCTCGCATTGTGCTTGTTTTGGCCAACAGGGCGGGCTGGCTGCTGCTGTCTACTAACAACTTCTACCACTTGCTTGCCTAGTTTTAGAGAATACTGTACTGCACTGCAGCTGTCAAGTGAGTCCACATCACCACATACATCTTTTCAAGACAGGAAGTATCCCAGAGAATAAAAGCCAGAGTGGGGTTACAGGACTTGAATCATACTACCAAGTGATAGGTATCTGATTGTTATAGGCATACAGTCTGCTTGAATGTAGGTTACCATGCAATCTACCAATAGTGCATCATTACATACACTTTTTCAGCCATCCATATATGACACATGGCATATGTTGACAGCAGCTGTCTTTGTCTCTCTAGAACTTGTATAGCCACAGGTCTCTTTTTACTGCCAAAATATATAGTATGAATTACAACCACTGAATCTTTTGTTGTAAACATATCCCTGCCTCATCCCTGCCTAACCTGCTAGACCTAGTGACTTTTCAGACCCTGTTTACTTAGTGACAAATCTTGTGAGAGGGAAAGCAAGAAATACAAATCTTTTATAGGACCAGTGTACATTTTTATCATATTTTCTTTATTGAGTGTTCCATAGTTTACCATAGCTTCACTCACCATGGTAGGCTACTGTATGGTTTTCTGACATGGTTTACAAAGTTACTTAGTACCAAATTTTATCAGTTGGCCTTAACCACAGTTTATTACAGTACAACAGTTACCATGGTCAAATATGTGAAAGTGGAACTGTCCTCTTTTTCATTTCATAGATAAAGACATTATGTATTTTAATGATGTATTTACTGCCATACCGCAAATGTCCCTGCTGCGATTAACAATTAAATTGTCTTTTTATTGTTCACGGTAACTATTAAATTACAAGCTTAAGGCAGAGAGATTGGCTGATTAGCTATCCTTCTTGCTATCTTGCAACTGACAACAGAAGTGGCACAAGCTGAATTAAACAAACATTACTCACTGCAGCCGTGTTAAGTGTTACACCATCAGCTTAAATATTTGTGATTGTGCAATTAGACAATAATCTTAACAGGCATAAATGCAAGTAAAGCCGTTTTAAGGATGCTGACTTCCAGACTTTGGTAACTTCGGTAACACCTCACTTTATTTACGTTACCTCTACAACAGTGGCATAAATGGAACATGATGGAGAAAAATAGCTTAATCGAGCTAATACGTGTTCTGTAAGATATGCCTGGATTGGCTCTACAGTAGAAAAAAATTCATTCAAAAAAAGTTAATCTAAACTAACAAACAAAAAAATATTATCAACACCATTGATGATGCCTTCATGTAAATGCAAAAAAGATCAAATGTACCTCTATATGTACAGCAAAAATAATCCAGATTCCTAAAAGGAAAATTAATGACACAGCATTGTACCCAGCAAGCTCAGATTTTGAAGGCCGCGTAGTGCGGTTAAAGATTTTAATACTGATACTACTGACTGCTGAGGGACTGAAATTTGGTATTAAATGAAATGTAATGTTTTAATACTCTGTGGCTCTTTGATCGATACTATAAAAACATTGATTTTTGATACTGGGGCCAAATGGACCCTTCGGACACTCCCATATTTGAGACAGAAAAAACATAGGGAAAACATTACAGCAGTGGTGGCATTACAGATTATTTCCTGATTTGATGAAGGTTAAAAGCTGTCTGGGTTTAGGAGAGAGAATGTGACATTAGCTATAAATATGGTAGTACTTTATTATTTAACGTTAGGTAGATGAGCCTGTGAACCGTGTGGACTTGCTGTAGGGTTCAGTGTGTTGATCTATGTGTATGTTTTGACCTTTTCCTACAGTAAACGGTCAGCATTAGTGATATTGCTGCTCGATCACCATAGTAATTAAATATAATCATGTCAAGTAGCTTACATTGGATCACTGACTACAGTCTGACCATTTACAACATTGAATGCTGGACGAAAACAACATTAATTAAATGGGGGAAAATGTGAAAATGAAGAATTCGATTACATAATACAACCAAAAGATGTTGAAGTAACTATCTACATTAACTCCCAGTTTGCACAACATTGACTACATTCTAGTAAGCATTAGACAACTAACTTTAGCTGACTTTGATGGGTAACCTGAGATCTTTACCTTTGTACTTATGCAGGTAATTATGGAAGAAAATCTTGTAGGCCTTGTAAAGCTTGCTCCTCTCTGATACTGAAAACTGAAAACAAACGTTTATGAAAAAATTGGTAAATTCCTTAATAAGGACATAAAAATGTGTGTCCTCTACATCAGAGACAATACAAAGGAGGATTTTCTATATTCTTATTCATAAACGCAGCCACTGCTGTAGCATTTCCCCTACTATAACAACTTACCCTGTGTCAAATATGAGTGTTAAAAGGATCCATTGGGGTAGGCTGCTTTCTTACCATGTGTTTGTTGATCAATAAGATTTCTTCTGTTTAAAGTTTGTACTGTGTATTAAGACTGTTTTTGTTCATTAATGGAACTGGTTTGTCCTTCAAACCCACAGTGATCGTCAGTAGTTGCTCAGTGAGCGCCTAAGGGTCTGAGAGTAGCTATGGCAGCCCAGTTCAACATTGACGATGCATTCTCACTGGAGGGGGATGAGGAGGGGGTGGGGCCAGAGGGAGGTCTGGACGGATGGAAGGGTCGAGAGAAAGAGCGAGATGGAGAAATGACTTTCGGTCCACTCTCCTTCACCAAACCACAGAGTCTTCCTTCCACTTCGGCCAGCTCCACCGAACACAGCAACCTGAAGTACCAGGTACAGGCCAGTTATTGAAGAGCCCATATTCTATGTGTGTTCTATTGTATTTTTTTATTATTTTCTTAAGTTCACATGATTCAAATGCGTACATTGGTTCCACACAAAAGAAATATGTTACCTTATCTTAAATTAATTGAGTACTTACACATAGAAATTATGCTGATGTAACGTCATTCATGTTGAGATGAATGTACACGTTGCAGTTGTGTAAATTAAAAGCATGCTTTAAGCAACTTTTTTATTGCATTTCTGATGTATGTGCTGATTTATGTACTAAATTTTTGTAAGACCATTTTCCACCTTTCTTTATTTTATACAATTAAACAGGCTGTTTTTTGGTACTGTTTCCTCTAAGATGTAGATATGTAAATGAGCTCTGTTCTGATTGGCTGTCCTGTATTGTGCCTCATTTGAAAAATAATGTCCATAAATGTACTGATATGAGACCTTTAATGCTAGATTATGTTCTCCAGTTCGACTGGTATTCAGTTTATTAGTTTTTGGTTGGTGTTTTTGTGTATAGCGTTTGCATGTAGTTAAAACAAAACTAAGCCTTTTGGTAATATTGCCTCACAAGGACAAAAGAGTTTATGTATTGGGCATAGGCTTAACTGCTTTTATGTGCAGATGTTTTTTTTTTCCTCTGTCAGTCCTGTGACTAATTCCCCCTGCATGTTACATGCTTTCTCTTCATGTATTGACTCACAGAACCTGGAAAATGAAGAAGCCCTGGGCAGTCCTGTTAACTCCACCTTCAACAACTTTTTTAAAATCAGGTCTTATATACTTTTTTGTACATGTGCATCTGTTTACATCTTAAATATTTAATTAAGAAAATATTCTGCAAAATTTCACTTTAAAACTACTTTGAGGCCGGATTTATTGTGTTTTAATGCACTACTTGGTGCTCTGTGTTGCAGTGATCCAGCCACACTGTCATACTGCAGCTCCCAGTGGTCCTTCAGCACCCTCAGCTCTGTCACACAGCTGTCTGCACACTGTTGCGGGTATACACAGACACTAAATCTAAAAGCTAAAGCCAAAATCAACTTTCTGATTAGGCAGATGAGATTAGGCACCTCCAAATATCTATCTGTTAATGTAATGGAAGCTTCAGCAATTGGCATGGTGCATACTGCATGTCTAAATCATCACACACCTGCCTCAAATCTGTCATGCACAAAATGTAAGCAAACAGCTATAACACTAGTAGCATCTAACTGCTAACTGTTTAACTTAGTTTTTAATGATTTAGGCATGCAGTTTGCACCATGCTAATTGGTGGGATATATGCTTCCTTGTTAGCAGATGTAAGCAACGTTTGAGCGTCCCTGGCCAAGCTACATACACTATAGGTCCAAAGATATGTGGACTGCCCTCCCAATAATTAAATTCAGGTGTTTCAGCCACACATTGCTAACAGGTGTATAAAATCAATCACATAGCCATGCAATCTCCGTAGAGCTTGGTGACTTTAAATGTGCCACTGTCACAGAATGTCACCTTTGCCACAAGTCAGTTTATAGTATTTCTGCCCTGGTCAACTGAAAATGCATCTATGAGCAAAAACAGCTCAGCCACAAAGTGGTAGACCACAGAAACTCACAGAGTGAAGCTGCCAAGTGCTAAAAAATCATCTGTTGCATCACTCGCTGCAGAGTTCCAAATTGCCTCTGGAAGCAACATCAGCGCAAGAGCTGTGTATCTGGAGCTACATGAAATGGGTTTCCATGCTTCACTATCTAGCAGTCTGATGGATGAATGGGGCTTTTGCCTCTGCGAGGAGAAGGCTACCTACTGGAATGCCTAGTACCAACTGTAAAGTTTGGTGCAGGAGGGATAATTATCTAGGGCTGTTTTTTAGGGTTTGGGCTTGGCGCCTTAGTTCCAGTAAAGAGTAATGTTAATGCTACTACATACAGAGATATTTTAGACAATTATATGCTTCCAACTTTGTGATAACAGTTTGGTGAAGGCCCTTTCCTGTTCCAGCACAACTGTGCCCCTGTGCACAAGGTGAGGTTTGTGAGGACATGGTTTGATGAGTTTGGTGTGGAGGAACGCCAGGGGCCTGCACAGAGCCCTGACCTCAATCTCTCTAAACATCTTTGGGATGAATTGAAACGTCAGTTCTCATCCAACTTTAGTGCCTGACCTCATAAAGGCTTTTTTGACTGAATGGGCACCAGCTTCCACACACCTACTCCAAAATCTTTTAGAAAGCCCTCCTAGAAGATTGGAGGCTGTTACAGCTGCAAAGAGAGCCAGCTCTTTATTAATGCCCACGGATTTGAAATTGGATGTCTAGCAAGCTCAAATGGGTGTGATGGTCAGATGTCCATGAACTTTTGGCCATAATAATATTTTGTTGATTTTTGAGGTCGAAAGCAGAAAACGTATCCTCTGCAGCAAACTTAATTCTGCAAATGTAAATGCACAGTCATTTTATGATGAACATAAAAAAAATGTAATTGTGGCAGAAGCTTGGACACCCTTCCAGTTGTCTAGTTACAAATTACAAAAGGTATATTTGGAGGGAAAAAAGAGCAGCATTTGATGAAAAGAACACCTTGCCAACTGTTAAGTTTGGCAGTGAATTAATTATGCTTTGATTAAGCATTACGCAGAGAAAAATGGGTGAAAATTCCTAAAACAGGAATCGAAAGACTCCTAGTAAAAAGCATTTGCAAGCTGTGATATCTAAAGGGTAATCGAAGTATTACTCACATAGTACAGTGTCCAAACCATTTTAAATGGCGCTATTACTATTATATTTTTTTATTTCTGTAACTGCCATTTTAATATAACACAGATGTCCTCAAACAGGCCTGGACTAAGTTGTTTGTTGTATGCTGTGTTCAGGTGGACATCTCATCCTTTATTAAAGAAGAACAGGAGAGTGGTGCTGGCCTCATTTCTCCTCCTCATCACTGGAGTTGGTAAGATTTTGAACACTATAACAGATCTCCCTCTATTTCCAGGACCTGACTGAAAATTTTGTCACAATATGAATAAAGCCAGGCAAACACTACTGGATTTGTAGCCCAGTTGTAATCCCGCTTTTCCCCTTCCTGCCAATTTTCACAATCTGAAGCAATTTTAGGTCAGGGGCTCAGTCAGAAGTGATTGACAGCACTGATGATCTGATAGAGCAAGAGGGAAAATGAGTTAAGTCCTGGAGCGTGATGGTCAGCCACATAACTGAACTCATGGTTTTAGTGCTTTACTGACTAATGTGATTGCCATTTCTTAAGCAGAATGTCTATAAGTCTATAAATTCAAAACAAGCCACTTTTATTTCTAAGCACCCTTATAGTTTAACCTTGACCTTATCTATATCACTGTACCGGTACCGGCACACTTCTGTTGAACGTTCAGTTCCGTTTTTTTAAATATCATTTGTAAGCATCAAATTGCCCAGCAGTACAGTGATGCAATATACCCTTAGAAAACTTGAAGTCTCCCTGCAAACCATTTTATGATCCATTCACAGCACTGACAGTTGTCTCATTTGCAGCAGATGCACCGAATGAGCAAACCCCAGCAAATCTGTGATTCCTTACCTTCAAAGCCTTGCCACTATTCACAAAGACATCATAATCCAAAACATGTGGTCTTGATAACACGGCAAAAGTCAGAGGTCAGTTTAGAGATCTATGAGTCAGGCAGAAATAAACTTCTCCTAGCCTCTGTTACTCTGTGTCATTGATTTGTAAAATTAATCTAATGGTTGGGGAAAAAAGTTAAGTATTACCTTTCAAATGAGATGACTGTAGCCCAAAGTATGTGGGAACGGCGCTCCTTTTACTTTGGGTATGCTATTTCAGGCAAAAATTTGGTGACAGGTTGAAACAGGTAATAAAAAGTTAAATCAGTTCAGATTGCTGAACTGTCAAAGAGCACATTTAAAGTTCCACTTTAACTCATAAATGAAGTGTTCACACTAAAGAAAGATTGTGGTATAATAGAGTATTTCTAGTTGTACAGTATGCTTGGTGGTTGTTCAAAAGAGCATCACATTCCTGAATGTGTAATTCTGGTATTACATAAAAAAGGGGAAATTAACATTTAAAGAGAGAAATGTTTTGTCTGCAGAAGTTCTGCTGGTACCAACCCTTACATTGACCAAAAAAATATATTGACTGGGCCATACTACCAATATATCGACTGGGACCTTATACTTCACTGCTGATGTGGAGATTTTAGTAACCCAATAGGAGTTCAGAAAGTGTTCTGATTTACTGACTGTGCTTTTCTTTTATTGCCTTTAACTTTGGCCCTAAACTCAGGTGACTCTTACTTAGCATATCTGACATTAGCTGTCTGATTAAAATGTAATCTTCTAACCATGTTTTCTCTCTCCCTCTCTCTCCCTCCCTCCCTCTCTCTCTCCGTCCCTCCCTCCCTCCCCGTCTCTCTCTCTCCCCTCCCCCCCCTCCCTCTCTCCTGTAATCTGGTTTTATTTTGAACATAATTATTTTTGTTTTGTCCATATTTACTGTAAGGGCCCAATCTTTACAGTAAGTCTCCAGTATTGATAGGTTCTGTTAGAGTGCGTCTTTTGTTGGTACTAATATTACCAGATCATCAGCATACATTAGACATTTTATTTCCTGGTCTTCTAAGATGAGTCCAGGATTGGTTGAATTTTATAATTTAGTGGCCAATTCATTTATATATACATTACATAAGGTTGGACTCAAACTGCAGGCTTGGTTTGCTTTACTTTGTTTAAAAATATTCTGTTCTCTTTGTGCCAATCTTTACGCAGCATTGTGTGTTACTGTATATGGTATTTATTATATCGTATACTTGACCTCCAACACCACTTTGTATTAGTTTGTAAAATAGTCCATTGTGCCAAACAGAGTCAAAGGCTTTTTTAAAGTCCGCAAACAGGCGAGGATTTTTCCTCGTGGTTTGTTATGGACATGGTTGTTTATTAGGGTTTGGAGGGTGAGACAGATGATCTGCTGTTCTATGTTTTGGTAAGAAGCCAATTTGAGATTTATTGATTATCTTGTTTATGTTTAGAAACATTTGAATCCTGGTGTTAATTATACTACAAAAGACCTTTCCTAATACGCTACTGACACAGATTCTTCTGAGTTTGAGGGCTGTAATTTATCTCGACTTTTGAAGATCGGGGTGATGATGCCTTTGTTTTTTACGGATTCCTCTAATTTCTTTAGTTCTATGGTTATTTCTGTGTTTGGTTTAGACCTTTATGTTCTGGGTTCTCATTGAAGGATTCAAAATGTGTTTTCCAGATATTGCCATTTTGGATTGGTATGCATTCTTTGTTTTGTTTAATGATTTCCACATATCCCAGAATGTGTTTTCATTAACTGCTTGTTCAGTTTCTGATAATTGAGTGGACATGTATTTGGTCCTTTTGTCTTGCAGTAGTTTTTTGTATTGTTTCAGTTCAGATAAATACTGTAGGCATAGTTCTTGGTCTGTAGGGTTTCTATGTTTCTGGTTTTCTAAGGAATTTTCTTGATGTTGCACACTCACTGTCAAACCATATTTCTTTGCATAGCTTTATTTAAATTTGTTCTTCAGTTCTTTTGAGATCTGAAATAATTGCCAGAGTACTAAATATATCATTTAATGTTTTGGTTGCCATTTGGACATTTTTGTCATAGGATGGGTCAAGAAATGTGTCTAACATAAGGTTTATTTCCGTATTTCTAAGAGCTGCTTCAAATTTGGCAGGGCTGCTCTTTGTCCATTTGAAAGTGGCGGGTAAACAGTGTTCTCTTTGCCGTCAATCAAATATGGCTCTTTATGTTTCTTTAGATACAGCGTTATAGGGCAGTGATCTGACAGGGGCAGCAGAGGCTGTACTACAAATGCATTAATATGTTCAGGCTCTATATCTGTTATAATATAGTCTACAACATTGCTGCCCAGTGAAGAACAGTATGTATAGTTTCCCTGAGAATCACCTCTTATCCTTCCATTTACAATATAGAGACCAAGACCTTTGCATAATTTCAGTATTTCTTTTCCATTGTTGTTAATAACACCATCTAAACTCTGTCTTTGAATTGGTGCTCCTGAGTTGTACATATTGGTGGTTTGGCCGAATTGATGGTCATTTCTCTCTGAACTTATGTAATCAATCTCTTCACCTGTTCTGGCATTGAGGTCTCCACACAGTAAAACTGATCCTAGAGACTAGAAATGTCAGATTTCTTCCTGGAGCTCTTTAATGCATTCTTTTTGGTAATAGGGGGAGTTAGAAGGTGGAATGTATATTGCACAGAGATATACATTTTTGAGAGTGTTCATAATATTGTTATTGATGGATAACCAAATATGTGCTTTACCCCTTTTAACAGGAGATATATATTTCTCTAAATCTTTTTTGTGCCAAATCAAAACACCTCCTGATTCCCTGCCACTCTTAATATGGGGATGTTTTACTGAGGGAACAATAAGTTCTCTGAAATTACTGGGACAATGCATAGATAAATCTTTGATACACCATGTTTCAAGTAGAATAACAATATCCATGTTTCTAATAGTGTGTATAAAGTCAGGGTTTGCACTCTTCAATCCAAATGTTGAAGAGTTCAGGCCTTGTATGTTCCAACTGCTAATGCGAAGGGATGACATTTAAACTGAGTTGAAGACTGCCTTTGTGTGAGTCCAGTGATGATCATGGTTGTGTGTAGCTCTGTAGTGTAGTCAGGCTTCACTGGAGGCTGGTGATTAACACAAGTAGCTTGACTGACTTCCAGGGTTCTCTTCGTTGTTTTATTGGATTTTGCATTCTGAGAACTGGTGGTTTTTATGGTCTTGTAGGGGGTTCTGTTCATAGAGGTGTCTTTCAGGGTTCTTGCAAAGATTCCCACTCTTCTTTTTGTCAAGTGTACATGATCATACAGATGACTTGGATTAATGTCCAGGTGGTGTGCTAAGTGCACGTTTGGGTAAGGGTTTACAGTGCTGTTCTACCTCTGAGTTGATGCCACTGATGACCTGCTGCGGCACATCTTTTCTGGGCAGCAGTGTGGACAGGGTCACTCTGGCTGTAGGCAGCTTTCTGGAAGCTTTCAGGGTGATGAGGTGAAGTACTCTGGCCACGTCTGTCCTTCCTGCTGATAGGTCATTGGTCCCGGTGTGTATGAGGATGTGTGATGTGTCCTGGAGTCTCTTGTCCTCCAGCAGATCGAGGGCTGACTGGATTGTTGGGCCCCAGAGTTTAATGGCTCTTTTTCCAGGGAAAAGTCGATTGATATTTAGGAATTTCCCATTGAGTCACATATTAAGGCAACTTCAGGATTTTGGAGTGGAGTGTGTTTTGAGTCTTTGGTGTGAGGTTCTGGGGTTTCACAGTTTTGTTGATGAGATGGCTCTGATCTTATTTGTGCGCTGGTTTCTGGTGATGGAGTAGAGGAAGGCGATGGTGCAGCAGTCCTGCTGGATCGTGCGTACAGTTTAGCTTTTAGCTCTTGGACTTCTTTCTGAAGACTGAGCAGGAGGCTGTGATGTTCAAGAGTGACTGTGGAGAGCTCCTTCTTGAGCCTGGCAGCCTCCTTCTTCAGAGCCTGATTGTCCTCTAGGTCTCTCACCGCATACTGGAGTTGTTTTATGTGTTCTGCCTGTTGATGAATCAGTCTAGGTGTATCCTCGTTGTCAGAGGTAGATTCTTTGAGCTCAGTAATCTCTCTTTCTAACACTGACAGACCCCACCTCAGTGATCCTATCTGCTGAGACAGCCGGGGACTTTCGGAGGTATAGTCCTGATGAGGTGTGGAACTGCTGTCCCTGAGTGGAGACACGTCCAGTTGCTGAATGTCTGGCTCTGTTTTTAGCTGATTTGTTAGGTCCTTTAGTTTGTGGTAATTTTCCAGACTGTTTAACGACCCCTGCACCATGACAGTACCATTGTGGTAAAGGTTAAAGGTTAGGGTGATGCTGTCTGATA